CTCTCTCTCTCTCTCTCTCTCTCTCTCTCTCTCTCTCTCTCTCTCTCTCTTTTGGCATTTGCATTGTCTGCTCTTCTTGTATTATGCTTATTAGCTACCCTCGATTTTGTAATACTTGGTCGTTGGGTAAGTCGCAGTGACAGTGAATCGAGAGTGGGGCGTGCTGCTTACCTCGGGCAATCGTCGCTGGAATTCCTCCTCGCTGAGTAATGCCAGAGCAGCACCGTCTTCGCTGAACTGCAGCTCCAAGTTGTCAACCGGGGGCAGCTTGAACTGTGCCAAGGTGGATCGTAGCCATGCGTGTACCTGGGCAGCTGTCCAGGCATTCGGATCTGCGAGGCCAAAAGCAAACAAAGCAAGATTAATCACAATCTCCCCCTCTCTCTCTCCATTCTGCCCCTCTCTACATACCCTGCGATATCTGCAGCTTTGCACAAATGGCGTCCGCCTCGCGCTTGGCATGCTCCAGCGCCAGAGAAATGACCGGCTCAAAGTCACCTCGCACCTCAGCTAGCCCGCCAATGAAGGACTCCAGCGCCAGGGGCTTCAGATTGTGCTTGCGCTGGAATGTCGTGTCCTCGAGGCACTCGCGCAGCGCCTGATGGTTCGGCTTGATGTCCAGCAGCTGCTGCTGCAGCGTATTCAAATCTATATAGTTCTCCAACTCGGCATCCAGTGGCTCAGCCTTGATGCTGCTGCTGCTGCTGCTGCTGCTGCTGCTGCTGCTGCTGGTGTCGCTGCGTGGCGAGGGCGTCTCGCAGTTGGACTCGGGGGGCGAGGGTGGCAAAATGTGCAGCTCCTGCTTGATGCTGCTCGCATCCAGCGAGGGGCACGGGCTGCTCAGGCAGTCGTACTTGAACGAGGCGAACTCCGACTGCTGCGGGCTCGACTGCGGCGAGGGGTAGGCGCTGTGCGGATAGGCGGGTGGTGGTATCAGCTGGTGGCCTGAGCTGCCGCTGGAGCTAACACTGGAGCAGGGGTTGGCTGGAGCATACGATGTACTCACTGGCTGCTCCTGTATCTCCCAGGCGCTTTCGATTTTGATCTGCGGCGCGTTGTACTGATAGACTGTGGTGGGTATGCCCGCGTCCTCCGGCAGCAGCGACAGATCGAAGTTGTCCGCATAGGCGTAGGCCGCATAGGAGTCCGTCGGGAACTGTTCTGCGGCTAGCTTGAACTGGGTGCTGCAGCTGTGCGGCATCTGCGAAGGGCAAAGAAGAGGCGAGCACGAGCTCGGTTAGTTTTGGGGCGACAGATTCCAGACTCCGAATGGCCCGCTAATTGGGCCTTCATCAAAAATGATATACTGCTCAAAGTGAGCCACTGTCTAATTAGCACATTTACAGCCGCGCTCTAAAGTTGCTTTTAATTTGCTTATGTGTTGCCTTTCTAATTTATAAACTGGCTGGCTCAAGAAACACCTACCAGGCCCAAAAATGCGGTTAAGTGTGTTTTATTTTCGATTTGTTTGCTTTGTTTGTGTTAACCTTAAGTTTCCAAAGCGTTTCGCGGCGCTCTTCCGACAACAGCAAGATCTGTACTAAGCTCAAAATCGCATCGATTTTCACATTTATCAATTCAAAGCCGTCGGCGACCTCATGGACTGTGACTCCAGCTCAACGCCAGCTGTGACGTCACAAGTGCAAAAAATTATTCAAAGAAAAAAAACCCAAAGCCCAACAACAGCTCTCAGCCTGAAGAGGGCTGGCTGACTGCCGACTAAGAACCAGGGAGAGCAAGCACGCGGGTGCGGAGAAGCTCGCTGTACAGGCATTTGAACCTAAACTAATAACAACAATGAGAATCATGTGCTTTTTTTATTTTTCGCCTCACTTGTATGAGCAGCAAACAATGACGCGAGATCCAAATCAAACTATTTCTCAGCTGTGCGCCCCCTGGCATCGCCTAGTCTCGTCTAGCATTGTAAATTGTTTTTGTAGATTTTCAGATCGAACAATGTATATTCCCTTCTTAGAGTTTGCACTTTAATTACTTTCGCTCGTAAGGGAAAATACTTTTTGGGCCCGCTGATAAGGATCAGGGGGGTAAATATTGTTAAGTAAATTTTGGGAAATCTCCTTGTTGGGATGTACAGGGTGACTGTTAGCAAAACTTGTTATGCTGAGCATCTCAAATTGTAATATTTATTATAATTGATCACAATCATGGTGTATTTTCAACAAAGAAAAATCCTTAGACCTATTTAGACAAGCTTGATATGCAGAGATTATTCAAATAGTAACATATAATTTAGCCTCTGCTATAACGAAATACAGGGTATTGCCTTAGGCATTATTTTCTGCTTACCGTATTTCGATGTAAATGGTGTTTGCTTACTCATAAGCAACGTAGAGCTAGCATACAGGATGTTTATACGTAGCCGATTGTCAACGGATTTCTAACGAAATCACTTTAGACTAAACACTCGAACAAGTTAGTGTCGTAACACTATAGCAAATAGTCTCATACCTGTGCATATGTTCAATACAGGGTGTCTACTACTAAGCAGGGGATACATATCTCTTAGATAGACAAGCTTATTCCCATATGGCATCTTTAGCCATTCCATATAGAGTGTATATACTCCTACGATACTCAAGAAACACACTCGATACCCACTTGAGCTACAAGTAAAGTACATATACAGGGTGTCTATGCGCCCACCTATGTTGTATTTAGATCACGGTCAATTTAAAGCTAATAAAGCTTCAGTTAGGCATAGACTCTATAACAAGTCAATTCCCATGCATCTAGATCAAAGCTAACTGCATCTACTCTATCATTACATCTACATGTACAATTCAATTCCTGCTTCTGATGCCAGTGTCAAGTAAACTGGAGTACAGGGTGTCTCTCAGGCATGCACATTGCTGTATCTCAAGGCATTCTCTAGAGCATTCCAGCTAGTTACACATACCTCACATACTCTATATATGTATGTGTATATATAATCTCGATTTCTACCTGTTTTAATTGCTGTACTGCAATAAATATAAATTGTTCGTTTGCTTTGCAGCTGCGTTTACTGCGGCTCTTAATTTAGTTTATTTTTTCCTTTTATTTCTTATTTTTCATTCTTTATTTTTTTTATTTTTCAACATCTACGATTTTTGCCTCTGAGTGAATGCTGAATGTTGGTAAACTGGTTTTTCATTAAGCTCACAGCAGTGGCCCGTGCTCCAGGCGGGTGGCACAGGGGCGAATTCAGACATGAGTGTACGAGTGTATGTGTGTGTGTGTGTGCTGTGCGCTTATTATTAATTTAACAACTCATTCTGGATTTTCCGATTTGCAGTTTCAACTCAGAGCCAAAGAGATCGACACGCTGAGGGTGTTTGTGTTTGTGTTTGTGCTTGGGTTTGGGTTTGTTAGACAGCTGCCAGGGGGCGGCGGCGGCATGCGGCGGGGGGGCGTGACTAGTTCTAGCCATGCAATGGCAATACGATATTGACGTCGCCGTTTCTGCTATTTATTTATTTCTCTCCGCTTGCCAGCCAGTCACGATGTTAATACAATTTTTATGTTTTAATTGCTGGCGCACCGGGCGTATGAGTGATTTTTAATGTTTCGCTTTTCACTGCTTGCTGTTAATTGTTAGCGCTAAAAACTTGGCTCAAACACTCTGTACTTGGGCTGTTGGGTAGTTTTCCACCGCCCAGGCCCCGCCGACCTTTGGTGTAGGCCTAGCAAGGGTGCTTCACCCGGCATTCCGCGGCTGCACAAACTGGACTACGAGCCACCGAGTGATTCAACAGGCTACCAGCTGCTCGCGGCCTCCAGCCGCAAGTGACTCAATAAAAAACCCATTAAATCTGTTAACAGTGCTAAACACACTGCATTTCGACAGCGGCGCAACGGGGGTGGGGGCGGGGGCGGGCCAATCGCTGCTATTTATAGACCATAGCCGCTTCGCATAGCCTGCTGCCAACATTTTTTTTTTTTTTTGTTCGTCTCCTGCTTTATGGCCCTCGGCAATACTTTTTTTTTCTTTTCCATTGAACTGATGTCATAAATTATATAAAATTAGACACATTTCAAAAGTCCTTAATTGGTTATTAGAGAAATGTGGCAGCAGCACTGCGAAATCAACTTCAATCAATTAAACGCAATAAATTTACTGTTCTGATAAATGGCGCAAGAATTTATTGCAAAATTGTTGATGATGAGACGACATTGGCTAAACTCAAATGAGATATAAATACAAAATATAATAGGTTAGAGACTACAGCTCTAAAGATGCAAGATATACGTATACGTACTAGAGACTGTCTAGATGTAGATGGCCTTACATGGGATGTAATGCTGTCTTGTTGGATATAGAGAAGTGGAGAATCAAATGAAATGCAGAGCGCAAATATCCTGAACTTCTGATCTCAGCTGCTTTCAGTTCTTCTCACACATCTTGACCTTAATCGCGTTCTTACGATATTCAAGTGTATGTATGAATATATGGGTGTTTTATATATACCAACTTTTATTCATTGTGTTGACTATGCGCTAGAAAATCAACAAGCGTGAGGCGAAAAATTCATTTTTATCCATTTCTCTGTCTGATTTAGGCAAATGATATACTTGCCGTTATAAATACCAGCTTGAATTATTTTTATAATTTTTTGTTTTTCGTATATTCCTCAAGAGAACCTTTTTACTAAATTTAGTAACTTCAAATTTTCTTTACTTTTAGCTAAGCTTTCCGAATCAAAGCAAAAATGTTGATTCTAAACTGTTTTAGGAAATTATAAAGTGTAAAGAACCGTGATATGAATCAAGGAAATTAAATTATATATATGAGCTCGCAAATCCCTGAGATGTTAAGTAAGAAACAAACAGCTAGACTAAATGAAGTACTTGAAGTCAACACGTCCAGTGGAAGAAAACTACGTTGAGCTATGGACACATGGACGCATCTTCAACATAGCAAAGCATGATAAGTATGTAATATATAGATAAAATATATAAAGCGCCTTTTAATCTTGTTGTGCTGCTTGACTAGAGATTTGTCTGTATATATATAATTTTTGTAAGACAATTTCATTATATGAATTTATCAAATAATGCACTAAAATAGCATCTGTGAGAACTTAAACAGGCTAATTCGCACTCACTAAGCATAGTCAAAAACTCTCTGAGCTGAACTCAATTGTCTAGAGCTGCCTCCATTCGTCACCTCCTTCCAATTGATTAGCTATATATGCCCGTTTCATTTGCATTTTGTAGAGAGTATGAGTTTCATTTGAAATAAATGTATCGATTTATTTCAGTTTCGTCCATTATCCATTAGCAGGCGTAACAATGCCCACATCCTCCAGAGAGAGAGAGACACAGGGAGCGGGGCTGAGCGAGAGGGTGAGAGATTGTCTTGGATAGCAGCAGCAATTAGATCATTTGGGTTATTCCGCTTCACATTTCCTGCTGGCAACGTACTGCGCCAACAGACTTTGTACAATTTTTTAATTAAATCTATCTGTGCAATGGCAGCCGTAGCAGCCGTAACAACAATGTGAACAAGCTCGGAACAGAACCCTGCGACGGAGTTTCCAATAGCCTACAAATACGAAATTTTATTACAATGTCTGCGGCGAACAAAAGGCTTTTTTGTGCCGCATTTAGCCAATTGCTCGGAACCATATTTCATTGGCAGCTCTGACATGAGACAGGGCTGTCAATAAAGCCATCGGCTCAGATTTAAATATGGAGAGGTGCATGCGTGTGTGTGTGTGTTTGTGTGTGTGTATTATATCGTATATCACCCACAATAAACGTCACAAATTGGTAATTTGAAAAATAACATGATATGCTTGTTCTTGTTCCTGTTCTACAGTCGAGCGACAGAGATAGTGAGAGATACAAGGCAATAGGGAGTGCGAGTGAGAGAGCGATACACAAAGCGCCGACAAATTCTAAACAGCCAGCGGCTTGGGTGTCAAAGTTGGCACAACAATGGGCCAAAACAAAACAAAACAACAAAACAATTAAGCGATTTTCAGCTGGCTATGCACGACTGCCCAATACCCGACCACAGCAATGAAATCAACTTGAATGGAGACACAGAAGAGAATTGAAATTTGATAATCACTTATACTGAATCTTTATCAATATAGTCAAATATGGTCACCCTAAACTAATATTCAAAGATGAACCTAGAGAAATAAAACTTTGCCTAACTTCTCTATCGATTATACAGGGACTATGAATGCTACA